TGTTTAGAGTGGGCAACTCGGGTTCCTCATCAATGTCCGCAATCTCCCGTTCGATTTTGGCAATCTAACATCTTTTTTTTTTTTTTTTGGAACATACACTGATATCTTCTATAGATAAGAGATTCAATACATAAAAAAGACCACAAAAAAATCAGATTACTGGTCATTATCAGCTTTACTTGTCGATCCAACATCTAGCTTCAAGGCACATATGTCCTGTTCTTCCATCACTTGTTTTTCTTACTATGCCTCTGCAATCGGGACCTTCACCAACTTTGAAACTCATGTAGAAGATTGCATTGCTCGACTTGAGCTTCATACTCGACTCGACATCTTCTTTTGTTTGTACCACTACTTTCTTCATCTCAAATGGCACACTCTGCAAAACAAAGGTTTGTTGAGAAATGGATGTCCGATGCTCACATATCTATATGCTTTTAATATCCTCACCATGTCAGAGTGCCACTCGGAGAACAATGCAGCTTCAGCATATAGATAAAGCCATTCATTGTCTCGCAACTCTGATTCCTTCACCTGTAGTTGTATATCAGTAAAAAACACTAAAGTTGATTACATAATGTATTAAATGAGTCAAAAACTAACACCTCACCTCATAGAATTGTAGTAGCTTATCACCTTTAATAAATGCATCATTCAGTGGCCAATTTGGCATATCACCTTTATAGAAGACATCTATTGCATCAAAGTCCCAAAAGACATTTGCATCTCAAAGATGATTTTACAACTAGACGACGACATGGACTTTTATAACAAAGTCATAAAAGTCTTAAGCCACAAATTTACCTGGTACTTGAGGCTTAATTCTGCATATTTTTGTGACAAGTATCAAGCGCGCTTTGTTCATCTTCCCTGCATCCGTGACTAAAGTTTGGAAAGTGTGAAGAGAGTTGTTAACCGGATCCATCACCTCAGATGTTGAATAGGAATTGTAAAGGGAACCGATTTCGGCGTTAACTTTTACTACAGTCTTGAACTGTAAGTTCTTCCCCTACAAGGTAGAAACAATGACCAGTGACGAATATCAACATTCTACAATAGTAGCTCACAAGGAGGAGAGAGTAATATCAAAGAGAAAAAAAAAGAGAAACCTTTTCAAGATTGTAACAATGGAGTCCTGCCTTTGCGAAGAGTGTGTCATAGGGACAACATCCACTTGGCATTATCCCATTAAACGTATGCTTGAAGAAATCAACATCGAATCCCTAATTACCAAAATCCAAAAATCAATTGTATGATACGAAAGCACAAATCTTGTAAGCTTCAAAACTTGAAAAAGAGTTAAAAGAGAATTACACAGGACTCAACAACTTGAAGACGATACTTTTCGCGTTCCTCGGGACTCATGTCTTCTTCGTCGGAGAAATAAAGGTCTTCCACAGGTGAAGGTGGAGCTCCTAGCTTCTGCTTACGGAGAGGAGGTTCGTGTTCGTTAAGCCACAGACTCGCTTCGTCCAACATCACATCATACATCTTTCCGGTGATTTCGCTGAACAGTCTAGTCGTCTTCTACTTTCAAGAGAATCGGAAACCTAAGCGATGGGTTTCTAAGACTTTTGTTCAACGGACACGACAAGTCGACAAGGGTTTAATTTGTCTAGTCCCAATTGTTTGTTATTTATCTTTTCACCCCTTTACTTTAGTTTTGATGTAAATAGACCCCAATTTCTTTTTAACCCCCAAATCAATAATGATTTTTAGTTTTTAACACTAACATCCTATAGATAAGAGAATATACAACTTGAACCAAACTTAATTTGGGAAGAGAAGAGCCTAATTGGCCTAACTGGGTGGTGGGTTTTATCGTTGTCCGATAGCATCCGCAGATGTGATTTTTGAGGAAAAATCGATATTTCGACGTTGTGATTTTAGGGAAATGAGAAGACACGGGTTCTGACGATTGTTTCCACACACAATGGAAACAACAGTCATATTTCCAGCGAAGTGTGTTGTAATGGAGGTCATATTTCTACACACCTCAATACTTCATAGTTCATATATAACTCAACATGCCAATACATAAGCAGACGGTGCATATTTGTTGTAGAGAAGTAGACAAGATATATAAGAGCATTTTCAAGAGGGAGAAAAAGTTTTTCAAATATAATAATTTAATACTTTTATCATAGATAAATTATTTATTTAAATTTTAATTAACTAAAAAAAACTTTAACCAATCAAATGATGACAAGTGTGAGACACAATATCTCACAGTTTCTCAAATGAGATACAGTGTCTTACAGTTTTTCATTCTCTTTCTTACTTTTAATTATTATTATTTTTTTAATTCTTTAGACATTCTATGAGAAACCTCCGTTGGAAGTGCTCTAAATATAACTAAGAAGGTCGATTCAAGGCAATACGATTTTAATATTTAGAAAAAACATTTTTATTTATAATTAGAGGGAAGAAAAACTAAAATTTAAAGTTAAAAAAAAAGGAGTTTTAGATAATATGTTTGTGGATATTTTGATTAAGAACAATAATAACGTTTCAAAATTCAGTCAAAATCATTATTCCACAGTCATTGTTTGATTGAATACATTTTCCTTCGGTGTCGTCACTGAATTCCTCAAAGCAAAAAATAAATAATTTTCAAGCATCACATATGAAACGAAATTCCCAATTTTTAATTCGACAAGCAACCTACATTCCACGAAGTTGCCCTGGTCCAAACTTTATTCGTTTTTATTATAAAAAAATGGCGAACACGACTTTTGTCCTCATGGTAATATAGTAATGTCAGACCAAAAAACGATATAAAAGTGACTACGAATAATATAATATGCAATTGTGTGGTTTCAATACCTAAACTATTGGGCCATACTGATTGATTACTTAGCTGCAGTGACTATGCATGCAAACCCATGCATAATACGTACAAATCTCATTATTATTTTTATTCCTCTCGGTTCCCCCTAACTTATTCTTTCCCATTATAATATTTTCGTTCACATAGAGTATACACATTATTTGAGTACAATTATATAATATATTACTTGAATTTTCTTCGGTCGAGTGTACCGTATAGTTTCTACAATCTCAGATCTTCAGTTCAACCCTATATTATTCAAAAGATTATATAGGTTCCGAAATTGAAAGAGAGACACAAAAACAACGAAGACTTTGGTCCACGCTAAGAATTTGATTGTTTCATATATCTATCAAGGAGTATGAATTAGTGTCGCGGTCAATTTCAACGGATTATAACTTAGTAAATCAATATCGTAGATTCGTAATTAATATTACTTTTTTGTCGACACAGTGATTGATATTACTTAGCATTTGGTATCTGTTGGGTCGTATAATAGATCATGGGTTGTCTGAGGATGGAAGTAGGATTGTAGGGTAGATATGAAGAACGTCATTCTAACGTAAATTATTATTGCTACAATTTTAAAACCAAAATATACGACAATTTTAATTCTTCCTACCAATTAATAACGACGACGAAAATATACGATTACGGCTGGACATTGGGCTTCCAAAAAAGATTTTGAAAAAAAAACAGAAAAATATGTCATATACCTAATTTATTTGACCGATGACTTTCACGTTATCTGGTCACCATTCACAAATTTTGACACAGTACTTGGATGTCGCTTACACGAAAAATTCGCCTGCTTATGTGAGAGATTAGAGATACAAATCATGTATTATACATCATTTTCATTTTCTAGGTTTTAATTTATTTTAAAAGTATGAGATAATTAATAATAAAAAAAAAAAAAAAAAATTAATAATTTAATATAAACAGTTTTAATAAACTTTTTTTAATATAATCACCAAATACAAAGAAAGTCATAAGCAAAAAAAAAAAAAAAGTTTCTGTAATTTAAGTTTGGTTTTTTTATTGACGTAACTTACCAGTTTTCTGAACGTTTGTATGAAATCTCTATACTTGGTTAGTACTTAATTAGACATTTCTTTTGTTTAGGACTAGTAACTCACGCTATATCGAACGAACTTATCACCCCTGAATTCCAAACTAAATCAATTGGTTGCATGTGTACGTACAGAAACTCAAGTTCAATTCTGTGATACGGGGGAATTCATGTGACTTATTTGCTTGGATTGTTATATTCTCTATCATAATTAAATCAATAAAATATATATATTTGGGTTATATATCGAAAAGAGAGATGTACTATTTGCATGTATAGAGAGAGGCGCATGTGTAGATAATTATAGATAATATGAAATCGTAAGAGTAGTGGAGATGGAGACAAACCCGTGATTGTCGTTGGTGACAGAAACAAGTAGCAATATTTTCTTCTCGTGTATTTCAGTGAAGACAGCCCAGCCAAGCACCTTTTAACTTCTGTCTGATTCCTCTCTCTCTCTCTATGTTCTGTCTCTCTCTCGCAATCTATCTATCTAACTATGCTTTTGGGTTTCTTCTTTTTTCTGGTTCACAGCTTTGGCTTTGAAGTCACGAGCCCATCCCCCTAACCATCCCCTTTTATGTTTTGCTTTTATAGTCAATTTAATTTATGAGTTGTAACGATGGAAGAAGTTTCATTTATCCAATTAATGTGTATGCCTCATTAATGTTGCCTTCTTCCTATATTGCAAAAGGCTAGTTCGAACGGAACAAAAACACGTATCAAATCCAATGAAAGCATAAAGCATAAATACATGTCATATTAAACCTTGATTTTATGTCATAAAATCGGCGATCTATTTTAGGAAAACATTTGATCTTTTACCATGAAAATGATCAATATTTAGACAAATTCTATCTACTCCTTGGAATTTCTTTTCACTCCCTATCGCAACGAGATTCAAAAATTGAACTAATTGACATGATAATTATTAACTAATATTCAAATATATTATGACTAAAGTTGCATATGTTTAATGAAAGTAAAAGTACCATTTTTGTCATGAGGTGTAATTCTAGATCTATCTTTCCCTAAATTGTATATAACTATAGAAAAACATTGGTTTAATAAAAAGCTATATGTTAAATAGAATTTAGAATATCTGTTGCCATCATATACATATTTCAACATATATGTTGAGTCGGAGAGAGAGAGAGGGGGAGAAAAAGGAATGATGGATACAAGCATCCAAAAAGTCATACACATAGACCTTCAAAAGTCTTCACCTTAAATTCCTAACACATATGTATGAGTATGTGATCTTTGTTTGATCTTTGTCCAAAGAACTCCAAGATAGACCAAAAAGGTTCAACCCCCAAAACAAACAACACAAAACAGCCAAATAGCTAGAGACCAAGATGAGATCAAGCAGCCAAAATTCTGAAAACTCCAAGACTTGTCTATCTAACAACTTCAAAGCAACCACCAAGAACGAAGAAGATAAAGATGAAGAGGATGATGAAGAAGGCGAAGAGGATGAAGAAGATAGATCGGGAGATCAGAGCCCATCTAGCAATAGCTATGTGGAAGAGAGTGGGAGTCACCATCATCATGATCAGAACAAGAAGAATGGTGGATCCGTGAGGCCGTACAACCGCTCAAAGACTCCAAGGCTGCGATGGACACCGGAGCTCCATATTTGCTTTCTTCAAGCTGTGGAGAGATTGGGTGGACCAGATAGTTGAGTTTCAATTATATATATACATGGATCAACATAAAGATCATTGCATATGTGAAGATCTCTAAATTTCTAGGGTTTTCTTGTTGATATTTATTTGGGTATTCTTTGAATGATTTTGTTAAAACAGGAGCAACACCAAAGCTTGTTCTTCAATTGATGAATGTCAAGGGGCTAAGTATTGCCCATGTCAAGAGCCATCTTCAGGTTTTGCAAACATCCACATACACATATATAGAGTATATTATATACCTATATCCATCATTGGGATCTTTATCCGAATCATATTTACCACCTTCATATTTTTTTTTCTCTCGTAGATGTACAGGAGCAAAAAGACCGATGACCCTAATCAAGGTAGTTTACTTATTCTACCTTCTGATTTAAGTTAGGGTTTCTATAAATCTTATGATTGAATTTGACGAGATATTGATTCTTATTGTCTCTCTTGTTTTTATTTTTCTTATATATAGGAGATCAAGGATTTTCTTTTGAACACGGAGCTGGTTACACTTACAACCTTAGCCAACTTCCAATGCTACAAAGTTTTGATCAAAGGCCTTCTTCTAGTTTAGGGTATTTACAAACTCTTCAGCTTACTATCTTTAAACTATAAGTTAAAATTACTTTTGTATAACTTGGAATGTATTAAATATATAGATACGGAGGTGGTTCGTGGACTGACCACAGACGACAGATCTACCGTAGCCCTTGGAGAGGCTTAACAACACGAGACAGTACAAGAACAAGACAAACACTGTTTAGCTCACAGCCTGGCGAGAGATTCCACGGAGTTAGCAATAGTATTCTTGACGATAAGAACAAAACTATTTCGTTTCGAATCAATTCTCATGAAGGGGTTCATGAGAACAATGGAGTAGCTGGAGCTGTTCCAAGAATTCATAGAAGTTTTCTTGAAGGTATGAAAACGTTTAACAAATCATGGGGACAGAGCCTCTCTTCCAATCCTAAGTCCTCGACCCCAACAATACCACAAGATCATATTGCTACAACACTAAATTCTTATCAATGGGAGAATGCTCGAGTGGCAGAAGGATCAGAGAATATTTTGAAGAGGAAGAGATTATTATTGTCTGATGACTGCAATAAGTCAGACCAAGATTTGGATCTAAGCTTGTCCCTTAAGGTACCTCGGACACACGACAATCTTGGAGTATGCTTGTTAGAAGATGAAGAAAAGGAACATGATGATCATCAAGATAGCAAGGGTTTGTCTCTTTCATTATCTTCGTCGGGTTTATCAAAACTCGGCCGAGCCATTAGGAAAGAAGATCAAAGTGATCATAAAAAGAGAAAGATTTCGGTCTTGGCAAGTCCCCTTGATCTCACTCTGTGAATATATATATATCATAACTTATGTACGTATATTCTAAGTGAGATCTTGTGGTACTTGTTGATGAAAGACGGTTCTGTATTGTTTATCATTCGTTGCATACTTGTGACAAGACCCATAATTAAGGAAATAATAGAGACATTTTTTAACGTTAGTTTTTTTTTTCATTTTTCCTCATAATTTTGCCGCGATCGTTCAATGCATATTTAAATATATATGATTTGTGATCGACTTGGGAGCAGAAATTTGTTTTCTTCTGAATAGTAACCAAGAAATACATTAGTGAGTCTATATGGTTTTGAGAGTTACAAGACATTGCACGTTGTCTTACTCGTGTCTTGTTGTAGACGTTGCAAATGTATGTGTAGTTCCAGTTTCTACTCTCCCATAACAAGTATCCTAAGCCAATATTTTGTTTTAACATGGAGATCCTTGTCATTAACGTTAATCCAGTGAACCTAAATTACTCAAAATATATATAGGCTTCTAATATAAATATACAAGAAAAGATTACACCAAAAAAAAAAATATATATATATATACAAGAAAAGAAGATAAAGACTTTCGAGTCCTAGCTTTCTAAGCTATAGCCTTCCAAAGCTAAAAAAATAAAGAACAGATTAAAATAAGAAATTTTTAACTTCAAAACAGCGAATTATCGAAACAAGAATAAAATGTCAAATTGACGATTCGTGGAAAGATATAGACTCTAGCTACCTTCGGGATAGGATTTACTACAAGAGGATGATAGATCGCTGTTGGCTTGAACTGGATATCAAATGCTAAATCTTCTCTTTTACGTTCAGAGTTGGAATCCATTTTATGAGCAATGAAATCATTATTATTATTATAAAGACGAGTTTTGCCTTCTTCAAAACCGTTTTATGAATTATTCCTTGTTTTTCATTTATTGTAGTTGAAATTATATGAAACATCGTTAATTTAAAACAGGTCTGTTGAATGCTTAGTTTGTAAACAAAATTTAAAAATCGGTTTTGAAAACCAACCAAATTTTTTTTTTTTAGTTTAGTTGTAAGGTTAATTAAGAAATAAAAAAAAGAAAAAAAAAGACACTTTCTTTAAGAGAAAATTGGAGGGAACGACAAGAAGACAGGTGTACTTGACATAGAGATATGTCTTGATCTCCTCGATAGACAACAAGTTATTTGTTATTCGCATATAATCGTTTTCTTATCATCTCGGGCCTCGAATAAGATTTGGCTATATCGTATTTTATTTATAAGAATATTTACATATTTCCAGAGAATCAAAACTATGGAAAGTTTTTGTTGTTTTATGTCTACTCACATGTGTCTTTGTTGTCTCATTCCATATTGGTAAGTCAAACATATTTGTAACGTGAGAGATCAAATTCTCTTTTTATGCTTATATTTGACATAGTAGAATTCTTACACAATTATTTTTAAACGATTTTTATAATATAATTAAGCATTTTAAGAAATTAAATGACAAATAACTAAAAGATATATATGTCCATACAAAGATAGTTATCACATTTTCAAAAGTAAAATATTTTCATATAAATATTTTTTTCCAAAGTGTAAATTCACATCTAGAAGGACAAAAAAAAATTTTGATTTGTGTTTGGCGTTTTTGCATTTACAACCAATAAATTGTTTATTTAGATGCTCTTATGGGCCAAAACAATGTAGTTCAACCCTCGCTTTCAATATCACGTGTTTTCCTCCATATAACTCCATTTGTAAGACTTGGTTATTTGTTTTTACATTCTTACCATATGAAAAATGAAGCGATGTTTAACTTTAGTACTACTACAAGGATTTTATCCAAAAACAAAAAAAACTTAATCACAAGGTTTACGAAATTTGATATATAACTGTAATTCAAAGTCAAAAATTGTTTCTTTACTACAATCCTACGAAAATAATGGAATATTACCAAATGGGTGGTGGCCTAGCTAGTGGTGGTAGTATAATGGGGTTGGTTTTCTTGTGTCTAGGATCCAATTTTTCTTTGGGTCTGAGATATTCTTTATATAGGAGTGGACTAAAGACTGGCTTCCGATACCAAAAATTATGGGCCAAAGGTCCGGAACTCCAGCGTTTATTAAAAAATGTAGAATATGAAATGTTACTTACAACTTAGAAGTTATGATCATGTAATAATAATTAGCTAGAACACCATTACCTTTTAAGAAAATTTGCAAATAAAAGGCCAAAGATCCAGAACTTCATTGTTTAAAAACAATTTTTAAAAAAGTTTTGCAAATAAAAATAGATTATTAGAGGAGAGGAAACAAATTTTGTAAGGCGAAACTAGCAATGACAGAATAAGCCTTCTGTGAAGGATGCACAGAATCAAAGAACAAATACTTGGAAACATCGTCACAAGTCCGAGACAATGGCTGGCATAGAGGTCCTGCCTCAAGCAGCCCCGTCCCGCAACATCCTCTCAATGTTTCCTCTAGTCCTGTATAAATGACTCTTCACATTAGAAACTATGCCACACTTAATTAACAGAATTTGTATATGAAAAACTTTAATCAATTAGTTACCGTATTTACGAGGATGTTTGATCATGTCTATTAACGGAGAGTAAATATCGAGGTAAAGAACTTTGGAACCTCGAAGCCTCTGACTGAGACGGAAGATTAGCTTCTGTAGCTTTTTATTGTAAACCCGAGAATCATCGTTCTGATTTTCCGTACATATCCGATGATGGAAGATGCGAGGAGTTTTGACGCTAGCAAGTGTTACTTGCACCGGAAGGCATCCTATTGGTGGTAGTCCAGCTATTGTAATCCTTCGTGCTCCTGCGTCGTATAGTCTCTGTAAGCATTTGTAACGTTAGAAATTTAGCTATTATTTGGATCTCTCTCTTTATCTGTTTCAGACTCGAATGGAACTATGAGATAATGAAAAACCAAATCCCTAACTAGTATATATGGGCCTGTGAGAGCAGTCCAAGGAACAGAAGCTGGGCCTATTAAAAGGTTTTATCATTTCTCTAGAATTCATAAAATACAATAGAAATTTTAAAAGGCAGAAAGGAATATATTGAAAATAGGAAGAATTTCATCTAACTCTAGTGAATAAATTTAATGAGTGGGATCCATGTAGAAACTAGTTACTATTTTGAATTTGATTATATATACTGTATGTAGGCATTTCTCCAAAGTTATTTGTTTTCTCTATAAGATTTATATATCAATAAATCCGATAAAATTATATATGAATTTAAAACGTTATAACTAAGTAACTAACCTGAACAAAAACTTCGACTTTGGTGAGTAGAGAATCTTGATAATCCGAAACGGAGATCAAACTCCCAAGAACATGATCGTAAACATTAAAGATCATATCATTAGTGCCCGCACTAATGACGATCACAGCATTCTTAATCACCCGATTAGTCTCCGAGTCTCCAACCAAACTCTTCATTTTACCTAGCGCCTCTTCGAAGTAACTCCATTGCTTGTCCATGGTCAAAGTCAATGATGACTTTGCCGTCCGATCATCTAAACCACCTCCGGCCGAGGCAAAACTAACGCCGGTCAAAAGGTCAACGGGTTTGACCGAAGGGTTGAGGTAAGCTGGTAAAGTGGGTTTAAGTCCTAGAGAGGAGACTATGAAGTCGGTGGCGAGTTTTCCATCGGAGAATCTTCCGGTGGAGAGTTTGGCCGGAAATGATTTGCCATATGGAGGATGGTTGCTTTGGAAAAGAGTAGGGATGTAATTGTTGTTACCGGAATCCACCGTGGAGTCACCGAAGGCGTATACGGCTGTTATAGGTGGGGATGGCGATGCATTGGTAAGGTTTAGAAGTTGGAAGAGAAGAAGAGTGATGAGGAATGTAAGAAACATTGGTATGTGAAGATTAGGGTTCATGGATGATGGATTGGTTAGTGAAGCAAAAATATATATAGAGAGTCCAAAAAGGAAATGAAGTTTAATAATGGACTACTTCTTTTTCTTTAACAATGGATGATTTCATCCTCTAATATAATGAGAAATCTATGAAACTACTAATTTTGAGTCACACCAAGATTGCCGTATCATTTTTTTTTTTAATTATGACTTTTACTAGAGGAGTTAATTTACAATAGATTTGTACACATGTTGAATGTGGAAATGTTTCTGCAAAACATAGAAGCTTCTGACCAAAAAACAAAAACATAGAAGCTTCTAGCTACGGTTATCTGAGATTTTTCAAACTATAATTTCTATTTGCATAGAGTATATGTATATCTAAACTACTTTATGTTAGTTGGATTTCAGAGCCATACGTAAGTTACAGAGCATATAATAAGCATTAATCATAAATGCATGTGCAGAAAACACAGTAAATAGATGGACAAAAATATACTAAAAATTGAATGCGTTTACTTTCTATAGTATACTTACTTTTAAGTTTCTAGTAAAATAAATGGAGAAAAATCAGAATGGGATTTGCCCATTAAGTTTATAAAGAATACGAAAATGACAGATGAAAATGACTCATTATAGCGTGCAAAGAGCTGGCATGTAGCTCACGACGAAGAACCCTTTAGTGCCGCGCATTAACCTTGTAACTAATATATATTTCTTTATTATCAGATTCAAAATTATTGCGAATTGGACACTAGATAGCCTCTAATCACTTTGGAATAATTATTTGATAATAAGTAACTCAGTTGAATCGACAAAGTGTAGCCTTGATCATGTATTCATATACATTAGGACCAGGTTATAATCAAGTTAGAAATTTAATTTATGTAGGATAGGTTTGTTAACTCATAATTCCATTATTCCAACATTAGTGGGAATAACATGGCAAAGTACGTGATTCGTGTGGTCTCAATATCTTCACTCTATTGTTAATCGAGATGATCATTTATGACTTCACGCATCATACGATTATATGATCGAATCATTTCAAATCAAAACAAATAATCTATACTTGGGAAGAAGTATTTGTTAAAAAACATGGTCCTAGTCTTTTAGATGTTAAATGTGTCTTTTGGTTTTGATTTTGATTAAAATAGCTCAATGTAGTTTCTGCTGTAGCTTCTTTGATTCAATTCAACATCTCAACAAAACTCGGATTTCTCGGGGATTAATTAGACTCAAGTGACAACAATCTTGTAGCTCATGATCAATCCAATATTTACAGTGAAATGCTTTAAACTGAATCCAACAATGACACAAACAGATCATATAATACCACAAATGCAGAGATGCTTTCGATATATCTTCACATTCACATCTTCTTCGTTCCATGATTTAACCATATCACACAAGAGCTCATGGATCCAATTAATCTCTGTTTCTCTGCACCACAATTCCAATCTCTAAGCTTAAACTGTAATCATTTAAGCTTCTGCTCAGAATCTCCTGTCTCTCTGATTCTACTAAGCTCTCTTTGAAACTAAAGAATCAATCAATTATAATCATCTTCATCATCATCATCGTTTCTCACATTTCCTTCAAAGAATTGTCTCAATTCATCACCCATTCTCAATCCTCTCATAACCATCTCTTTCACAACAATCTTCGCTTCTTCAAACCTCTTCCTCTTCACAAGCTTACCAGCCAAAAACCCAAAACTCTCACCATCCAACCCCAAATCTTTTCCGGCGTAAGCCATCACAAACTCCAAACCCAGCGCATAATAGCCTCCCTCCACCAACCCCGCTATAACGTGCGCATGCGTCGAGTACAACACAGTCACACAATCCTCCTCCATCCTCCTCAATATCGCCATCGCCGCTTCCACTTTCCCAGCCCTACACGCGCCGAGTACAAGCGCGTCGTAGCTACGCGAATCCGTAGAGATCCCGTCTTCTTCAATCTTACGCATCACCTCGCTCGCCGATTCCATTTCGCCGTCGTAACAATGCGAAGTAAGGAAGTAGTTGTACGCCGTCACATCCATCGGAACCGATTTGGATCTCATCGATTCAACAACTCGCCAAGCTTCATCGATTTTGTTCTTCCTCGTGAGGGAGCACAAAATCGGGTGAAATGTCGACGGCGTTAAGCTTAATCTCCCGTTAGACATGTCTCCGATCACGATTAACGCGTCGTTGATGCGGCCGAGCTTGCAGAGACGAGAGATTAAAATGTCGTAAGCGTTTTTCCGCGAGAAACCGCCGTCGATCTGAGGTAAAACACGGCGGATATCTTCTAAAGCGGAGGAGTATGAGACGGTGTTTGTGAGGAATTTGAAAGTTTCGCTCGTGTTGAAAGATCCGAGCACTATACGGTTGTTTAGAAGACGGCGTACGGTCTCGAAATCGCCGGAGCTGCCAGCTTCGTTGATAAGTTTGTCGAATTCGGTGGTTTTGCGACGACCTGAAGGAATCTTCACGGTGGAGAACGATCGATCGGCGAGGATATGAAGGAATGTTCTGGAATTAACTGGTTGTTTCAGGAATCGTCGCCGGAGAAGAGACATTGAGTTTCACAAATTGATGTTTGTTGTTGTTCGTTAGGGTTTAAGCCGAGAAGGTTATTCAGAAAATGGGCCTACGAGATAAATGGGCTTTTATGAGGCCTGTTATTGAAACTGACCCATTAATTAATCTAAGTGGCGCGAAAATGGATACAAATCTGTGAAAGAGTTTTGTAATCTTTAGTTTTTTAGCAGATGTGTGAGTGTAGCACTAGAATGATTAAGAGACATACCTAAATGATAATATTTTTTTGCTAAAGAAAGCATTATTAGGGAAAAATTAGGTAACTAAGGATGAGGAAACCAAATAAGAATTAAGAGATACCTAAATTGATACTGTCTTTTTTAGCACGTAAAGTTGATCGAACAAAAAAAAATAAACACGTTAGTTCATGTTTCAAAAGTCTATAACATGGTTTGAATTTAGTATTGTTTGTTAGAAAGCAAGTTATCAAATTCTTGTTTGATTTGGAAGCCGTTTTTATTTTCTATCATTTAAGCTTAGAGCTTAGAACTTATAAATTATGTTCGCGAGCAAAAAAAACGGTTGTTCACGAAAAAAAAAAAAAAAAAAAACTCTTTTTTGCATATTTTATCTTAGCTTATAGTTATGACTTATGAGTATAATTTATAGTTACAATATGATAAGAACGAGAGTAATGTATAGTGAAGAAAACTAACCGACTCGACTACTATATATATTTTATGTATGATACTAAAGATTATTCTTATATGTAAATTTGATTAACACTAACTAACAAACAAAACCAAAGATATGATTTCGAGAATAAGATACTTTTAAAGAATATCTCTTCTTCTTCTTTTTTTGGTGAAAAGACTTGGATTCAATTGTTTGCGAGGAATCCTTTTGGCATGGTTGAAAAGATAATTAAAGTCGAGAAAGGAGATAACGAAAAGAGGGGTCGTGATAAAAAGAAGAAGAAGACAATGCTTATCACACATCAAGAAAAAAACAAACATAAAATGTTGGTGTAAAGATGCAAATCATAAATAGCTAATCTAAGCTAAGCTTATCCTAATAATAAATAGATTAGACTACCCTAATTATAATTATTGTTTCAAAATTTTAATTTAATTCTATAAATAATTTTGGTGACTAATATTATGTTTTATGAACTCTGTTCTACTACCTATCTCACCAAATAATTATATATATATATATATATACATAAAAACAATTACACTTCTATAGAATTGGTGGACGTTTTCCACATATCAGACGATTTTATTTCCATGTTCAAATAATTTGAAAATTATTGTCAACAATTTTTGTGCCTTGATTTTACACTAGCTTGCAAATTCACTTGGTTAGCTAGCTATTGTCAAAGAATAATTAACAGTCGTTCACATTTTGTTTGTATCCGAGTTTTCTTTTTGTGTCAGAAAATTCCAAATCCATATTATACAGTCTTGACATAGTAGTTGATAAACTGATATAAATTAATGTAGTGATAGAATTACGAATTACTAGTTTGTCTCCATGCAAGTGAAAATGTCCCTGCCGACCAATCTTTGACCACATGAAAGCTTTGGCAAACATAAAAGACAAATTCTCTCTTTTATAGATTCAACTTTACAACAACTCTTTGCATTAATTATGATCACGATCTCATTAAGAGGCCGGTGACCGGCTTTTACATTTTGACACTCGAATCATCCTCTCTTCCTTGTTTGTATCTCCTGCTATGTACAGATCTATATGTTTATCGTCCTTTCGTGTCATTTTCAAAGGAGTCTTGGTTTCGTTTCACATATGATGTATAACAAAGGTAACAGACTCACAGAGTTGTTATTTTCATGTTAAATATGATAAATCATTTTCGGCTATTGAGTCAAATTATTTTTTCACATAAAAATTTATGTAAATGTTTCTTAATATATATTACCAATATATTGATCATTGTTACCAACCAAATAGTTGTAATCTAGTAGTTTTCCGTTAATGATCGAATGTAGTGATGTAGATTTAGATTACGTTATACAAGTTTCTTATAAAGGTCATACATTGGCATTCATGTAACCATCAATGAACATATATAACCTTTATAAAATGTGTAAATGACGTTAAGTGAGACAATATATTAACGTCATACAATATTAAAGCGATCTCTAAACCGACTGTATTAGTCTTAAGTAGTCATTGTATAACTGACGTTATATTCAATATTAACCGACGTAACTTACCGTGTTTTTTTTTGTGTGTCAGGCGTCTATGAAATTTAGGTGTTAAAACAAATATAGAAGTTGCACTTTGTTAATTATTTAATTTGATTTTAGAAACACATTTTCATACTGCCCAAACAAAAAAAAAAAAAAAAAAAAAAAGCATTTTCATATATATATACCTTCTCGTCGGGTTTCATAGCCAACATTTTACAAAACCAAGACATTACTTTTGTCTCTACTATGATGTTGGGGCGTAAAAGATGAGCACTAGCTTAATTCCGACGATTAATTTGAACAATTTTTCAAACGTTATCATCTTATGTGGCTTTCAGCATAATCTCTTAGTTATATCTCAAAGATATTCACAGGAATAATGTATTTAGCAATTAGCATATATAGTAATGTGGGAAGTAGTACTCTTGTTTAATTTGTTTTTGAGAAGGGCTGGTGGCTATACTATATATTACTGGCTACTTGCCCGGTGCTCAATAGCAGGGCCTACCAAATTCTTGTTGGATGGATAATATGTGCATGTGTGGTGTTTCTTTGGGTACACCCAAATTATTTATTTATTTTCATAAAAGAAAACTGAAAAAATATATATTATGCGTTACGAATAACAAAAATAACGTTAATTAAACAAAATATAAAGAATATATATAACGAAAAAAGAGATGATGATTTGTTTACCCTTGGGCTGGCCTACGCCTTTTTAAAAATCACGTACTGATCAGTTGAAAATGAAAAAAGAATAACTTAATGACAAGGATTTTTGTCTTTATTTTCATATGACTTTCGTCATATTTATTGGATCTTTTATCAAGTAAGATCAACAAAAGATTTTGTATTTTCTTCAGTTCATCGGATTGATTGCAAATGCATAATTAAATTGTGATGGTATTAATTTAAGGGCTGATACCACAAAAAAAAAAAGGTATGTAACATTAGAGATAGCTCCATCTATATATATGTTCTATGTACAATAAGTTAAGCATAAACAAGAGGTGAAGGTTGGTCTGAATCAAAAGTTTCACAAAACCAAGATATATAAGTCCAAAAAGATAATGTGACTGGAACAAATTAGATAGATGTTTCCGAAATTTAAGGACTAATAATTAAGTTTGGTTGTCCTTGGGGATAAGCGAAGTCTTATGAAAATGCAATGCTAGATATTTATGAATAAGATTTACGATGGTCTCAATGAAACTAAGTAACGTAGTCATCTAAGGTTCTCGTAGCCACTTTCATAATCTAGTTTGAATTTATAAAATTATATATGCTTGAATTTTTTTTTTACTAAATAAAATTTTAATTGGAATTAGAAAAAAATATGGTTGGTCAATGCCAATATTATCGTTATCAAATATCCAACCACCATTCCTCGACGTTCACATATACTCTTGTTTGTGTCTTTGTCTCTGCAACAAAATGAAACGACCGTATTATATCTTCTTGTGAAAATACACGACAACTTGTTGAAAGGAATAACAACTTCGAAAATTCGAGCTAGACCAGCAATCCAGCATCTCACCGTCATAACATCACTTTTTACCTTTATTTCTATTTCAATTTCATCGTTAACCGCGCATGAATACAAGCTCTATATTATATGGAAAGTGCCTCTCACTTTTAGCATGCATCTACTTCTACTCTATAATATATACGAGCAAAGTTCGTAGATGACTTACTTTTGATTCCTTGAGTGAAGAAAGAAAGAAAAAGAAAAAAAAACATGACCACCGTAACATGTGCATACCATATCAAGTCACCCTTTTAGTTTGTTCCCCATAAAGCAATCTTCTCACCTTTTATTTCTTGGTACAAAATCTTCCCAAATCTTCATTATTTCTTTTCATAAACAGAATCAAAACAATATAAACCCCATGTATATGGATTACCGAATCATCTTCTTTAATTTCTAATTAATGGGAATGTGAAATGTATTCCACCATCTTTTATCTTTTCATTATAATCGGGAAATTTTCTAAGCCTAAACTCTCTACTCATTTTCCGAAAAATTATAGACGGTAGAGTACTTTACTAATTCAGACGTCTATATATAATGGCCAAAAGAAAAACTCGTTGTATAGACGGAAATATTGAGACATTATAATGTGATTATACATATACATCAGCATTCGATAAATGGTTTCAATTCATCTTCTTTCTTATTATAAACTCCCATCGAATTAAGATTTGATCGATCCTTAAATCTCTCAGGCTCGACTCATCACATTTTGGATTATTAATAAGAACAGGTAATATTTGTAGGGCCGAAGTACACTGTTCTATCATCATTGAATAAAGGAGCTTTATATCATACCGAAAAAAATTATATGACTTAAAAGAAAAGTAGATCATATATACTATACAAGTGACCACGTTAAATATTTATGGGTCCATGCTAGAATTGACTAAACAACTACAGTAAAATTTAAAGAAAAAAGTGACATTGCTTTTCAATGTTACCATTTTAAAATTACAAATTCTTTGATGATCTTTCGGTATGTAACTCTGCCTCGTGTCGCATGGTAAAGAGATTGTACATAGCTTAATTAATTAAAACAATTTTTGTTAATCTTTTCATAGCAGTAGGCTAGTATCTATATGGGAAAATAATTCATTTTAGAAGTTTTTTTGTTTAAACTCATTTTCATTTTAGAAGTCTATCTGGCAACCAACACTTGAAACTAAGTATGATTGAAACTATTTATTGAAGATTTGACTTAACATTTTTGGGTTGTAAAATTAAGTCCTAAAAGTATCCCTTTTTTCTTTTTCTTACATCAGTCCTAAGAGTGTTCAGATATTCAAAATTATTATGCATTTTTTTATTTTATCAAATAACACATGTTAGTGATGATAAGTTGAAAACCATAATAAGGAAATAAATTGTGATGTACCTCTCTAGATAAATCTTGCACAATTATGGAAGGGTATATATTTCATATCTACATATACATTTTTACAGTATTTTTTTGCTTTAATTCTTTTGGATCCGGGTTTGACCCGGTTTTAGTCTATTCGGATCTTGGATAAGCAATTTTAGGGATGTTGTCTTAATTTCAAACTAATAAATGAAGCCTTTATTAATTTCAAACTGAAAAAATTTATGGCAATATTAAAACGAAATTAATTCCTTTATTAATTCATATTTGTTAATTTCCTTAACTTCTCCCCACACCT